CTTCTCTCTAGTTTCCACAAAGTGGGAGACAATTTTCTGTATGATACGCCATGTGGGAACAAGATAAGTTCCTTTGTTGTGTGCAAGGTCAAACTTATGCACATGGGGTGTGTCATCGTGTCTTTCTTCCACAAAGCAATGAGAAAATGTTCTTTGCTTTGGGATATTCTCTCTCGGAGATCAAATCTTAATAATCAATTTGTTCCCGATATTATTTTTCTTCCGGAAACTCTCTCAACATCGGATGGTCTCTGGTCATTTGAGAATCTTAGGATTTGTTGATTTTGTTTTATTTGATGTTGTGAATTCAGCAGGTGGTCTTGCTTTAGGATGGTTTCCCTTGACTAATGTCACAGTGTTATGGAAGGAGTCTTTTTTATGGTTGCTAGCGTTAATAACGAAAATTTATGTTATTTGGTTGTTTTTGTTTATTTGAGTTGTGAGGATTTAGTGAGGTTTGCTCAATTGAATGTATTGTTGAATTATTGCTCCCAATTGGATGCCCTTTCAAGTTGGAGGATATTTCAGCAATACTCTTCAATCGGCCAACAAGTAGGGAGGTTGCTCTTGTCGGACTACCCAGTCACTTAGATTATGTGATTTTATTGACGATTTGGCTCTTCAAAATATTGATTTTGCGGGATCGACTTATACTTAGACTAATAGAAGGGTGACCACTAGATTCGTACAAGAAAGTTTGACCGTGCTTTGGCTTCCCATAACTGGTTAGAATTTTTCCCAAATAATTTGGCTCATCATCTCTCGGATCGTGGATCGGATCATCGGGTGATTTTGGTTTCGACCGAAGCTATTGCACCTTGATGTCGTCCGCTCTTTCGCTTTGATTCAAGACTGGCAAAGAACCTGGAGGCTTGGACTATGGTGGAGGACGTCTGGAGTCAAACCATGGACGTCCCCCTATGTTTCACTTTTGGACGAAGCTTAAGAGTCTACGCCACCTCCTGTTTAGCTGGGGTAGATCAGGTGTTAATTTCAAATCACATATTCATTTCCTCTGAAATGTGATTGATCAACTGCGGTCTGAGGCTCAAGTTGATTGGGAACGCATTCGTGGATTACAAAAAGAGTTGGGGGATGCTTGGCTAGCAAAGGAAATTTTCTGGTGTGAGAAGTCGAGGGTTAGATGGTTTCAGGAAGGGGATCAGAATACCACATATTTCCATAATGTTCCTTGTGCGAGGAGGAGGAAAAATCACATTTGTGGTTAGTTTTCTCCTAATGGCTCTTGGGTGACTTCGCAAAAGGATAAAGCGGAGGTTGCCACGGATTTCTGCTCCACTCTGTTAACCTTGAGTGCTTGGACGAGGATTTGGTTTGTTTGAGGGTGGTATGACTTCTGTTGGCGGAAAAGGTAACTAGATGGATGAATGTGAAGTTCACATCATTTGTTACATCGGAGGAGATACGTCGAACTATGTTTAGGATGGGTGCTTTCCAGGTGCCAAGTTTAGATGGCTTACCTAGAACCTTTATATGGAGCTTTTGGCCAATAGTTGGTGGTAAAGTGGTTGAGGAAGTGGGATATTTTTCTGACCAAGAGTAATTTTGAGGAATGTGAACCATAACTGATTATCTCTCACTCCTAAAGTTGAAAAAGTGGAGCATATAAGACAGTTGCGTCTGATTAGTCTTTGCCAGATTTTATATAAAATAATTACTAAGATTATGGCTTATAGGCTGGGAAGAATCTTGCCAAAGGTTGTATCATCGGGTCATAATGGTTTTGAGCGGGGCCTTCGTATTGTAAAAAATGTACTGGAAAGTCATGAGGTTATGAATTATCTCTCTCATAAGAGGATTGGTAAGGTGGGGTTTATGACATTGAAATTATATATGGAGAAAGCTATGATAGGGTGAAGTGATCCTTTCTATTTGCTCTTTTAGAGAAGTTGGGTTTTAGTAGCCAATGGATTCGGTGGGTACGCACTTGTGTGACAACTCCAACCTTCTCGATGATGATGAATGGCCACCCTTTGGGTTTCTTTACATCTTCTTTAGGTTTGCTGCAGGGAGATCCTTTGTCATCACCTCTATTTGCTCTTTGTACTAAAAGATTTGAGGCATGACTACGGAAAAGATTAGAGGCTAAGGAACTAGCGAGTGTTCGTGTGAGCTAGCAATGTCCGGTGGTTTCTCACTTGTTGTTTGTGGATGATTCGTATTTGTTCCTATGAGCTTCTAAGTTTGACTATGATACTCTTATGCAAGTCCTAAGTGATTATGAACAGCTGAGTGGTTACAAAGTTGATTTGCAAAAGCTGGTTGTAGTGGTTAGTAAGAATTTTTTGGATACTCACCGGGCGGACATGGAGACTCAATTACAAGTTGGGGTTGTGGGGTTATAGACAAGTATCGTGGTTTGCCGTCTTTGATAAGCTGGTCGAAATTGGAAACTTTTCGGTTTGTGGAGGAACGATTTATGTTGCGTCTGCAGGGTGGAAACAATAGTGTTTGTCCTTGGTGGGTAAGAAACTCCTACTTAAAGCAGTGATGAATGCATTGTCTATTTCATGTGATGTCGTATTTTAAGGTGCCTTTATCTATTTTCCACCAATTAGATAAGCATTTGGCCTGCTTTTTGTGGGGGCGGCAGGCTAGGAAGACGAGTGGATTGGGCAGCTTAACGAACCTTATGTACAATCAAGGAAGAAAGTAGATTGGGATTCCTAGGTTTTAGTCTTTCAATTATGTTCTGCTAGCTAAAATAGGTTGGCGTATTTTGCAGGATCCTACTTCTTTGTTAGCTCGAATCTACAAAAGCAAATATTATTCCAATTCTACCTTTCTCTCTGCTCGTGAAGGCTCGTTGCCATCCTGGGGGTGGCGTAGTACTTTATTTGGTCGTGTTCTGTTACTAAAGGGATTAAGGTGGCAGGTGGGGTCCAGAGAATCAATTCCTTTGACGGGGACTTTCTGGGTTCTGAAGCTACATCCTAACCCACCGAAATTGCTTCCAGAAGTCGATCCTAAGCATGGGATGGTAGTGTCTGTGATTTATCATGGGCAAAGAGCTTGTCAGGTCAATCAGTTGAGATAGCTTTTCCCGTCTGAGACTGTCGCTGTTATTCTCAGTTTCTCACTATACCTTTGTCTTGTTAACCTATGGAGGATCGCTTGGTTTAACATTGTGTCTCGTCAGGTGTGTACTCCGTCAAATCAGGATATCATCTTGAGGCTTCCTCCTTGCAAAGACAGCCTCAGGTGATCAAGGACTCATTTTCTCCTTTTGATATAGGTATGTGGCATAAAGTTTGGGGGCTACATATCCCTCCCAAACTCCATTTTTTGTCTAGAAAATGCTAAGGTGAGTGTTTCCAATGGGGGAGGCACTCCGGGTGTGGCGGGTTGGGAAGGGTGGGTTTGTCCGATTTGTGCAGGACAGGAGGAGGAGACCATGGAGCATTTATTCTTTCGTTTCGCGGTTGCTGATGCTCTTTGGTAGTTGTAGTTTCTGCAGGAGGGTAGGCCTAAGGGGAATATAGCTATATTTTGGCATAGGTTTTTGAAATGCCCCATTGTGGCCCAACTGAGATAGTGCAGCTTCTGGCACTCTTATGGCGCATTTGGAAGTCACGCAATGTTGTTGTCTTTGACCTGATTCAGTTTCATACGGTTGTTCTTGCTTGTTATTTCTCTTTGTAGGTTGCTGAGTGGCTCGAGCTCTCCCAGGAAGTTAGTTTGTGTCCTGGACTAGCCATGTCTCGTAATCCTTGGGCTTGTTCCGGGTCGGGCTCTTTGTGTTGTTTTGTGAATGGTGCAGCTAAACAAGGTTCACATAGGGCTGGTGGATGGGTGATACAAGATGTTGTCGGATCCTTTCTAGCTAGTGCACCGTGCCACTGTCAAGGGGTAGAAGTGTCATTTCTTGTTGAACTTCTTGCCTTGAGGGATGTTGTACGGTGGTGTGAAAATAGAGGATGTACTTCGGTTACTTTTCTTGGTGATGCTCAAGTTGTTTTTTTTATAAGATCAATAGTGGCGAGGTTAGGGATGCCCTTGGAGAAACTGTATTGAAGGAGATTAGTGTGTTGTTAATGTCATTTACTCAGTTCGAGTGTGTTTTTTTGGATTGTAATAGGAACATGGTTGCCCATCTTGTGGCACAAAAAGTCCTTTCATCGAAACCGTTATTGTTAGTGGGTTTCGGATTTGTTGTGTGGCTACAATCACTTTGATACTTCGGATTTTGTAACTTTTTTCTCGGTAACACGAATGATCTAATGGCAAAAAAAAAAAAAAACAAAAAGATCAAACTCAAATAGTTGGCCTAGTGATAATGTGGGGATGAATGATCGAACTCAAATCATTAGTCTAGTGGTAATGTGAGGATGAATTATCTAACTCAAAGAGTTAGCGTAGCGGTAATATATAGATGAGAACATCGAACAGTTTGAATCTCAGGCATATGTAAATAAGATATTGTAACCAAATCTCCTATGTATGAAACATCTGATTTCTTAAAATAAGATATTTGATCCAAATGAGTCGTTTGTCAAATATCTCAATAGTAAGCAACTTTGGTGGCATGAACCCAAACGACATCCACCCTCGTGTTTTCCTCTGTGTGTGACAGCCCAACTTCCCCATCTCTAATTCCCTCCTCGCAGGTCCGTAAGTTTTCCTTTCACAGCAACAGCAACAGCAACAGCAACAACGATGTCTTTATCATTTCCCTGTCTATAGCGGATGGGGTGAGGGTTTTGTGTCAAGGACGCTTTACTTATCAATGGCCATGTGCTTTACTTGAAGTGGATGCCTGCGTTAGTGCATTTGGCTTTCTAAGTCTTAACAATGTTGTCTTAGGCTAAACAAAGTTTGATACATAATAATTCTTTTTTGTTAAATAAACACAATAGTTCTATCTGTCAGCTAGCTAACTGGGACAGCAGCTTGCATCAAATTTAAAAGCAAAGTATGCACCTTTATGGTTTTTAATCATACTTAGTTCAATGTCTACATCTACTATTAATTATGCACAACATTGAAAGTGACATTCATTCATGAAAGTCATTCCACCTTTGATCTTACATGATCCTCTTTCATATCCTAAAATTTCTCGGAAGTGCAAGTATATGTTTTAATATAAGTAATTTATATCACCATAGATGGATAAGGGAATTTTTATGGGATCGGTTCCTTAGATTTGTCATCTTGGGATGGCAATTTCGATCTGATCCCTTTTACCCGACTTGTTTGCCCTGTTTTGGGCAGGCCCGACCCGACCAGTCCTGTAGGCGGGACGAGGCGGACATGGGTACTCTCATCGACCCGACCTGCCCTGACCCGCCCCATTCTCGACCCGTTCTTGCCTAAGATACTTGTATCTTAGTCAAATTACTTATGATTTTCCTTTTATTACATCATATTTTAGCTATAATAAAGTTGTAAATTAGTGAAAACCTCAATTTCTCCAATAATTTAATTACATTTATCATAATATGATTTGTTTTTTTGGTCTTATAATGAAATTAACGAATATTTCTAAGGCTTTCCAAATAAATTGCATACCCATTGAATCGACCTGACCCAACTCGCGACACATGATAAATTATCCGATTTGCACCCAACCTGCAACGGAACGGATACGGATAGTTACCTACCCATTACCATCCCTAATCTTCGGGGAGTAGAAAGAAAGAATCATTCCGCTACGACCTACAATACGAGAACCCAATTCGCAACCCCATGGATGGCAGTGGACTCACAGGAGCAAAAGAAAAGAATATCAGCATAGATGGAGGAGATTTTTTGGAATTAATGAAGAATCCGATGGGATTATGTTATCAGCGGAATCCGCATACATCTCCCACTAACGTTTCGGCAGCAGTGGTGCATCAGATCTGCTTCGATTCCCCCCGTCCCTTTTTTGGGATAGTGGATGCCTCGAATTATATATTTCATCGTTGGGTTCAAGCTTTAAACAACCTAAAAGCAAAACAACCAACCCATAAACAAAAGCGACTTTCAATCTAGGTAGGATACTGTCCCTTATGAAATCTTCTGCAGCAGGCATTCCCTAATACGCCCATGTTTTTCGTTGTTTGCTTCTCATGTTACCATACGAACGGATGTTCTATACTTGTATACCATTTCTCTTCTCATACCATCAAAATCTTCAGGCCGTCCAAGATGTGCACAAATCTTCAGGCCGTCCAACTGGATATCTCTCGACGAGCGACAGAGACCAAGAATGACTAAACTCGAACGAACGCTCAGGAAACCGACACACTAGCCAATTGAATAAGAAAAACAAAGCATTAACAGTAGAAACCATAATGTAGAAGCTACCTGTTCGATTGTTCGTATCCGATTTGGCTGTTGTCCATGTAAACTAAGAAACCAACTGAATAAAAGACCATAATAAAGCACAGACGCAGGAAACAACAGAGGCTTGCATCCTATAAAGCAGAATGGGTTTTAAAACTTTCGGAACACATTAAAAATAACGTGTCTCGATCCTAACAAGGTTTTTCTTCCACAACCTGCTACGCCGTTGCATATATAAATCTCTTGTTTGAGTTTGACCTTCCACAAAATAAGCAGATTCAATCCGTGCACGAAGCTCGTCCAATTGCAAGGATTCGAACATTATCAGAAACAGCTCTAAAACACTACTACTACGGGGTTGGGGCTCCCTTTTTCACCTGTTGTCCTTGGTACTGCTTTATCTCCTTAATGATGCCATCGGCAAGCGACTCATCATCGTGATTTTTGCCAAAGAATTTCACGAATTGCATATCAGGACCCATCAAGTACCTGCACACCGCACCAAAGTATTTTACTGCTTTCTTTACCCCAGGAAGCAGCGAAAAATGAGAAACAAATCGGTAACAGTTGCCTGTCCTAGCCAAGCAAGAAGATTGGACTGCAATAGGAGTAGGTAACTTGAATCTCAACTGTCATACAAAAGGAGCTCAATTTTAGTGGCAGGATCAATCTACTTACATGACGATGGAGTGATCAACTTGATAATCAGAATCTTCTACATCAGTCTTCATATAATAAACTCGATATGAACGAGCAACATTCTTTATATCAGCTGGTGTGCCAGTCAATCCAACTAATTTCGGATGAAACTCTGAACAAAGAGAAGATATCATCACCAATGAGCTAATTAAGAGATAGAATTATACAAGCAATTGAGAAGTGCCTTTCTAAGATGCACACCTTTGACATACTCCCGCACTTGATCGACAGTGTCCCTCTCAGGATCAACCGAAATAAAGACTGGGACAATCTCGAATCCTGCTTTCTTCTCTACAGAGCATGAAAATTATGAGTCAGAGACCAGATTAGCCACATGTCAAGGTAAGCACAGAGAGCTACCCTTTAAAGCATTAGCAGTTAAAAAATTCAAATATCAAGATGTTGATGTGATTCAGTCAAATTTTTGTGGAAGTTCAGAGCTAAGGTATGCAAAAAACAGTAAATTCACAGAGTAAGGACATTTCAAGCTCGAACTTCTGCACTCACTTATTTTTTCAACTGCAGAGGCAAGCTTTTGCAGTTCATCTGGGCAAATGTCCGGACAGTGAGTGAAACCAAAGTACATTACTGTCCATTTCCCAATGAAATCTTTCTCTGTAGCCTTCTTTCCTTCATGGTTGACAAGTGTAAAAGGTCCTCCAATGGCTGCTTTTCCTGCTGATGGCCCCTCTTTCACAGCTTGAGAACTCTTATTTATTTCTGGACAGATAAAGAAAACTTCATATTGACACCTCCATTGTATTCCAAGTTAAACAGACAGGACAACAACCCTGGAAACTGTTCTACAACTTAATATTTCAGGACAAGGACCGAGACAGAAACATGAGAAAAGCAGAAACGGATATTAGAACAACCACCCTAAGTGATGGGGATAAACAAGAACCCTCACCTCTCCTTGCATTCAGAATTAAAATTGCAGGAAGCAAATGTGAAACAAAACCCTACTGATGACAATAGTGATTAAACATCCCCTGAAGCAGATTTATCACGATATCTTTTGAATTCCATGTGACCCCCAAATGCCCTGAAAATGCACGCAAACTCACCATAGAAATGTACCTTCAATGTGTTTTTTCTTTTCCCTGTCGTAATAGAATATGATTCCGGCTCCAGTTAGGGCCAGCAACACAAAACTCAGCCACGACACGGGCTGCAACCATTATCCAGCACCAAGCTCAGCTGAGAAACACCAATGATGGAAATAGAAATAGATCCAAACGAGGAAGAAAATAGAGACATTACCCCACCGCGAACAGGTTTCCCAGGTTCGCCGCCTTGCTCTGAACTCCCACCAGATTTCTCGCCTCCATCCGGTTTAGCTTCCTCCACCTTCTTCGCACTCTCCGAGCCGACAGTACCCGCAGGAGAAGCTGTTTGAATGGATCTGAACAGAAATCTCTGCCCGATCGAAATCGGCGGAATACGGAAGTCCAAAGGCGCTATCTGCCGGAGAAATTATATATAATTGAGTACATGAAAGCCATTATCAAGCGGACAGGAGAATCCTAAGAGGACGAACCGAGCGAAAGAGAGGCAGACTCTCGAGAACTGACGATGGCGGCACCGACGTTAGCGAGCGAAACTGACCGACGTGGTGGGAGTTTGCAAATCGATACGCTTTACGCAAATGATTTACAGTTCTAGAAAGAGCACTAGCCATTTTAAGACCGGCTGACTCTTGCACTGCCGCCGAGGTCGGATTCTGGCCCCCCTTAAAGCTGGGTGGATGCGGAAGGAGAATTTACTATAAACCCTACCGCCTGGCCGGAGATAGTGAATCGATAAACCCTACTGATCGGCAATTGGGAATATCTGTGGGAAATTTTGCAAGGTACGTGAAAGTGAAGGAGTTAGACCGTCGTCCTCTACCGCAAAAATGAAGCCCAATAGAACTGAAATAGAATTGGGCCCTTCTTCTTTTTTTGTGTGTGAAAAGGGTGCAAGCACGGCTGGAAATCGGTACGGTATTGGTATTCTAATACCAAATACCGAAATCTCAAATACCAAATTACACCTTCAACTCAATCCCAATCTCAATCTCTAAATAATTTCGGTATCCCAATCCCAATCCCTAAATATTTTGGTATCCAAATCGGTACTTCGGTGTCCCAATCGATATTATCTAATACCAAATTAATTACTTTTGCAATTATTAATTAAATATATAAATTAGATTTGATTGTTAAATATAGGACAAAGAGACTAAGCAAAGAGTCTTGAGTTTGGCTAGAGCTAGGATATGGATAAGAGAATGGAGGAGAGGTGACATCTCAAGTTTTGTCCTTGGTAATCTTTAATTTGACGAATTGGAGGCTGAGAGAATACTAATACTAGTGTTTGCTTTTCGGTGTTATGAAAATAACAAGAGATTGGTGGTTGATGGTCGTGTAGTAGTGAATGAGAGAAGTCTAGTTGAGAGGATAAAATACATACTAGCTTATATTTTGGTATTGTTCAGTATTTCGGTATATACCGATCCCAATCTCGTAATCCCTAATACCAAATAACAATTAAAATTGATCCCAATCTCAATCCCAAAAAATAATACGTGTATTCGGTAACGCCAAATATAGACAAATTCGGTACGGTATTCGGCATATCCCAAATACCGGTACGAAACTTCCAGCCCTAAGCACAACTACCTATTATTGGGAATGAACAGTGAAACCAACAACAACGTCATACAAAAGTCAATATGCAATGTCAGAATTCGAAGGAACAAAAATATGAGCCCTAATTAGTAAACTATGGCCACGATGAGTCAAGTTACCGGCTAAGAAATTGGCCTCTCTATATATGTGAATTGACTCTTGTCTCCCAATTCCACTGTTGGATCTCGCGAAAGGCAAGGACAAGGTTCGCGTGCTGGTGGTCCGTGGGCGTGGTTGGCGATAGCACATGGATGATTGTCGTCAAGTCAAGTTGCAACTCAACTTTCATGTATTTAGTATTCCACGCCAATGTAGTCCCTTAAGAGCGCCCCATAGCTCCGCCCGAGTGATCGTGCATCTCCCAAGTTCATCGTGCATGCCCCTAACAAGCTACTATGCCCGTCTCTAAATGCCCCTGTAGCGGTAGACCCTAACGTTTGCAAAAGCAAATCGTCATAGATCAATGTGAGCCAATCTATAGGGGTCGGTCTCCACCCAACACCCACGTCTCGACGCGTCCCCAACATCAATATTAGAAGTGTTTTTTGAAATATGATATTGCTTATCGTGTTCTACATTTTCGAAATAAAATTAAAATATGGTAAATATAATATTTTTTAAAAATAGGTTTTCGAGATAATATTTAAAGGGTTAATTGTATGGTTGGTCACTGAGATTACAAAAAACGTTCAAGTTTGGTCACTCGAAATATTTAAATCCATTGGTGGTACTTCAGTTTACTGAAACCGTTTACGTTAGGTCACTCTCCGTCCAACTCCGTTAACTTTTGCTTACGTGGCGGTCATCTCTAAAATTGACCGTTAAATGTGTGACGTGACAATTTAAAAATAATAAAATCAAATTTATTAAAATTATCATCTCATTTCCACCTCATTATCACTTTTATGTAAAATAAATAAAAAAACTCTAAATTCTTATAATCCCCAATACCAATATCCCGTTGACAGTATACCTGCACTGCCGCTTCCATTGCAGCTTCTCTTATGCTTTGGAGAAGAAAGGGATTGAAGCCGCTAGTGATTTCGCCGCCAGGGGAATCTTCATTCTTCGGAAGCCACCACTTGGTTGGTCAGGCGTAAGCAATGATTTGGCCGTACAATTTTTGGCAAACGTGATAAGAAATGGCTGTCGATTCGACGAGTTCCGGTGTTTTCCAGTGCAGGCGGTATCCAGCGGGGTGAGGATCTCTGCAACGGTGGCATGGCCGGCACGCCGACAGGCGACGAGCTGCGCGGTGAAGTTTGCACCATGGCTTGCATACTACTCCCAACGCTCTGCGACACTGCCATGTCTCTCTGCAACACAGCAGCTGCTCCTCCAGCTAAAAATTAAATCTAATTATCATAACAGCGTACTAATGATCAATCGATCCCTTCGCTCGAGACCAACGAAAGCAATTTACAAATTATGGAGCATACATTGGAGTTCCATGGTACATTCATCAATAAACGAACGAGAATTAGTAAATTACTAACCATTCTCTGCCTGCCCAAGGAGGTCAAAACTTGAAAGAGAAGAGAGGCAAGAGCGATGATGCAAATGATGGCGCCCCTAACCAACGAAGATGCAAGCTGATTGAAGCCGCTATAAGCTCCGCCCATGTCTTGATGACCAAGAAGGCGGCTATGAAGGCGAACATGAACAACGAGAGGCCCATCGAGATGGCCTCCCGTTATCTCCGACCATCCTCTAGGGTTCTCCTCTGTTTCCGTCTCTCTGTTGCGGGGTATGAGAAGCGCAGCAACAGTGGGCTATGCTGTCGGCGGGGTATTGGTATTGGGAATCAGAAGAAACAATGGTATGTGTATATACATTGGAAATTCTATGGTACGCTCGATGCATTGAGGATTATTACATCTCCTTAGTTAAATAACATTATCTAGACCATAGATTAATCACGTAACTAAACCATGTATCATATTTCTCTAAATCCTAATATAGTGCATATGGTATGCTGTATACATCTTGGCGAATCAGAATCAATGATTATGTTCTTAGTATATGTGATATTAGGGTTTAAGTTCTATAGATTTAGAGTATATGATTTAATTATTTGAAACTTAATCTCCCTTTTCGAATTTCCTGCAATGAGAGAGAAATTAGGAAGGACATCTTTATCTTCACAATTATCTGTATTTTTTTATTTATTTACAGAAAAAGATAGACATATTGAGATTTGAACCATGGTCACTTCAAACAAACTGAAGGTTTAAAATCAATCAGACTATGTAGATTTGTTGTATTTTTTAAAATTAAAAATATATACGAAGCTAAAATATGAAATCACAGAACTTTTCAACAGTTAGCTAGCCCAATAAATATTCTGTAAGTACTTATATGGTGTTTTGATACTTCGATTTTGATATTTTTATTTTAATTATAGTTTAATACTTATATTAAAATTTAATTTGTCTTATAAATAGACGATAACCATGAATTTGCAACCAAAATATTGTTGGCTCGAATATTTCATATCAAATTATAGTATTGAATATGTAAAAGTGATATAGAATTCTTAAATTACCATTAATTTCCAAAACTATAGTGAAGCAATCATATCTTTGTGCAAACTATAGGGGACTGGTTCTCTGAACATTTTTGTCCGGTTAAATACTAAGTTTTGAAACTCTTCCTAGGGGTGTGCATGGGTCGGTTCGTTTGGGTTTAAATATTTTAATCGCCTAACTGATATACCACGATTTTGAAAACACTAAATACAAACTCACCCAAATAATTTAGAATTTTAACAGTTTGTGCCCTCCATACCAAATGAACCAATTTACATGTCGCTTAACTAAGGACGATCTCATTGTCCAATCCCATCATTCTAATGTCAATCCATAAAAGTAACCCATATTTGCGTTTGTTAACACATGTTTCACATTGTCATTACTGTGACTGGTAACTTCGCTGCAACTGATTCGGTATTGCTCATCATATGGCCTCCAAACTGATAAACATATCGGGCCAGCAGTTTTATGACAAAACTCAAAGTGAAGACAACTCATCGTCTGGTGGAATTTTGGCGCTTGCTGGTGTCCATTCTTCTAATTGCAAGCATAATGATTGCTAAAATTAACCTTTCACGCAACACACTAGGAGTTGGGGGTGTGAACTTGGAGTAAAAGTTGATATTGGGTTTGGGAAGGGAAGTGGTGAAAGGAAGAAATTGTGTTTGGATTTGGTAGCAGGTAAAGTTCATGGTTCGGTTTCTTTTCGTAAAATGCTTTGATGTATTTTAGTTAGAGGTATACTATCATGGTTATGTGGGATCAAATGAACCAAAAATGAGCTTGGGGGATGAGAATTCCAACTTAGAAGGAGTGGATTAGATTTTGATAAACTCAAGTCCATGATTAATTGAAAGCATATTTAGATTTAGACTTTGTGGTATTGAGATGTTCATAGAGAGTTTAAAACTAATCCAAGGCCATGGATTGATATTGGTTAGTTGATTGTGATTTTGAGGAAGGTGTTTAAAAAATCATGGAAGTAGTTTGCAGCAAGTGAAGGCAGTGAAGAGGCAGTTGGTCAGGGTAGTGATTGAACCAAGGAGGGTATTGAAAGACATAGAAGCAAAAACGGAGCAGTTGAAGAGAGAGAAGTGGTAGATGATCAGGATATTAATCAAAATGGAGAGGGTATTGAAGGGCATGGAAGTTAACTGGATCAGGTGAAGACAGAGAAGAGCATATTGATGGAATTGAAGATGAGTGTTGGTTTTACGAGCTTAATAAAATTGCCCCGAGGAAGATGAGTTGGCCAAATACAAGAAAGAGGATTGAGGAGTTGGAGATCAAGCTGACAAGAAACTCAATTGAAAGAGAAATTCAGGTTCATGGAGAGAAGTTCCATCAAAGTAGCATAAATGGAGTTGCATAAGGAGGATTAGAATTGAATTTTGGTTTAAAACATATACGTCGAGAGATTGAAGATAGAGGGGATAAAAGGTTGGTTGTACAACGGAGAGTGGAAACTATTGGATCTTTAGGTGTTATGGTTGTTGCAACTACCACAACCTATTTTTATGTTAAAATGAGAAATCATTCACTATTCAAACTACTGGAACCTGTAGATAAGGAGTGTCTAATGCCTCATTACTTTGATCGAGTCTATTAGTATATTGGATGTAACTCTAATTTTGTCATTTGCTCTCAAGTTTTGATGATCTCCTTTTAGTTGAGTTATTAGCATATGATTTACTTGAATCAACAACTCTTCATTTTTGTTTTTTTTAATAAATCCATTTCTTTTTTATTAGTGGCATGTTATTCATAGAGGAGAGCTTTGAACCATTTATGTGGGATTGTGAGGTTTCATTTCAGTTTCAAACTATCTATGGATCGTGTGGGAACTCCAATGAGCTTTTATATTATATATTTCTGAACAATCTATTAACCAATATCATTTTAATGGAGGCTCAATTATCATTATGAAAATGGGATGAATGATACATTTTTATATTC